TCCACTCTGGTTTTCACCAGAGTGGAAAGGCTGAATTTCTCTAGGCGTCGCCCTAGATGTCGTCCTAGAAGTCGTCCTTGAGGTTGTCCTCGAGGACGCGCGAAATAAGAGCATTGCAGGGAACGATCGAAGGCAGGTCTCTCAGGCTTGCAGATGTTTATAAAAGTTTTCATAGAGGATCCCGTGTCGACGAAAATGACCTTTGTCTAGAACTGAAAACAGCCAAGTCAAGATAGGTCCATTGCTGGAGCGAGTCGATCAATGATTCAACGATTCGAAATCGATGCATGAGCATGTTTCAGAAGTACAAATTGAAGTTTTCTTTTCAGCTACGTTATGGACTAATTTTCAAAATAAGAAGAACCCAGTCGCGTTGTGACGGTCAACGTAAGTTCACGGCTCTCTGCTATCGCGCAGGAGATCGCGATTCAGGAAAACGGATAGAACTTTTCGACAATGTTGAGCCACACGCAGCAGCGGAATTGAGCCTTCAACTAAGCGTTGTATATAATAAAATCGTGTCAATGTTACCACTGCAGGATATAAGATAAATTAAGTTACGAAAAGTTACAAGCTGAAACAGTGATTCTCACGAGAAAACTTGCGCCCACCTTGCGAGCGTAGCCCATGTTCATCGAGGACACAGCGGTAAATTCGGTACGCGCTCTATGCACGAAAAGTTCCGAGCACACTCGAGTTTTTTTTTGTTTTTTTTTTTTTGTTTTTGTTTGTTTGTTTTTTACAGGCACAACTTATTGCCGCCGGAGGTTTGGACATTTAGAAAGCGATGGAGTTTGAAGAGATTGCAGCCGCAGTCTCCTTGTCGCATACCGTGCACGATACAGATGTCATACGATCATATTCTGCGTTTTGAATTGTTATTTTTGCAGTCCATTACCTAACAATGATGTCCCGATGACCAGGGGATCGTCCTCATTGATTCCGCTAGCTCTAATTACCCTTGGAAGTAAAATAAAATAATAAAAAAACGCAAAAAAAAAAAAAAAAAGATCTTGAATGAATTTAGGCGTCCAAGGAGTTCATTCGGCTCTTTCGCTCGTTCCTAACACTCAGAATTGGAGGAAAGCGCAAGTTGGTTGAATAAAATTATTAGCTGAGTTAGAGACGCTGTCGGTCGCTGTTACTTTCTCTTCCACTGCAAAAAAAAAAAAAATTGTTTTTGCTCTTGTTTTGGGTTAAAATCATCATGGTAAACTTCCACCAACTCGCCTGCGCCCGGCCGTAATTTCATACAAAAGTGTCGTGGTGTCACGGATTCAGGCTGGCGGATCTTCATGGCAATAAAACGTACCAGCGTTAAAAAGTAGCCAGAAAGTAGGCAAGTAGCAACGTAAAGTTTCAAAGGCCATGGACCTAAAAAAAAGTAGCCAATTTGGAGCAAAGTAGCGAAACCTGGCAACCCTGCACCGAACACAAAAGAAACGGTTAAAGCAGTTCGCGTACTCCCGCCGCGAGCCTTGCGCAAGCCTTCCGTGCGCGAAGGAGGCGAAAATTCTGCCCCGGGAGAATCAAAGAGGCTAAAGAGGAAAAAGGCCGGAGCATGCACCGTTTGGCGTTCCGGGGAAAAAAAAATTAACGAAAAGAAGAGAACATGCGTTGCGGAGACGCCTTCCTCTGAAGTCGGCCCACTTGTTGTGAATCTGTGACGTCATAACCCAGAGCGGTGAGGCCTTAGCTGTTGTTGGTGTTAGCACTGACGGCACGGCTCTGCGGCACGGACGGCACGGACGGGGATCACTGCTGCCATCTATCGGCTATTGTGCCAATCAGACATGCGTCTGGTTAAGATACGTAGGGAAGTGAAGTTCTTTGGTTCCTTTTTTGTTCAAGTAAATTCGTAATTTAAAACTGTGGTACGAAAAATTAACCAATTGCGGGTACTTCTGCAATAAATCTTTCGCTGATACGTTCAGAGGTGCTCCTTCTGCGATCCACGCTTGACATAGTTGCGCCGCTGGTGTAGTGGTATCATGCAAGATTCCCATTCTTGCGACCCGGGTTCGATTCCCGGGCGGCGCACGCTTTTTTGCACTTTTAGAAATTAAATTATAATGCATGTCTGTATGACTCCATGTCGTGTTGGTATCACGGTGGCGCTTATTTTGGCAAAATAAAACTAATATCATTTTCTTCCGCCTGCTTTTCAGTCGTTTGCATCATCATCAAGCCTTCTCACACCGTAGCTTCGCCGAGAAATGTTCGCGCGTCGCAATAATAGTAATAATAATAATAATAATGCTTTATTCGTACTTTGGAAGGGTTGATCCAGGCACACTAGGTCGCATAAGGCAGTGATGCCCATACCACGGAGGCTTGCGGTCCCAAGCTGGGGCCCATTATTGCACACACACACGTGCAAAATTCCAGTTAACAAAAAACGCTTTTTGTGTGTGTGTGTGTGTGGGGGGGGGGGGGGGGGGGGGGTGTTGTCAGCATTCATCACACGTGCTGCACAGCCTTAGTCTCTCCCCCCCCCCCCCCCCCCCCCAATACAAAAAGCATGGTATTTTTTAACGCGAAAATAAACTACATATCGCCAAACGCTCATTCTTCGCACAAATGTAGTGCTAGCAGTCCAAACTACTGCAGATGCCAACGTTTCAGCACTAACCGTTATTTTATTCAATGGAAAGGATTTTATGAATTTTTAGTGGAAAAATGATGACGACAGAGCTCTCAAATACATAGAGCTCATGGCGCTGCCAGTCACCGAAAACGGGCGAAAATGGGCTTCATTTTCCCATTAAAATGTTCAGAAAATCACATAACTTAACTTTAGTTAGTGCTGAAACTTTGGCATCTCATTTGGAGTGCTAGTGCTTCATTTGGACTGATTTGGACGGAGAATGAGCCTTCAGGAATACTTTCATTTTGCGGTAAAAAAAAAATACGCTTACATCCAAGTCAACCCCGAAAGGGTCCTCTTGCTTCTTTCTATCGACTGGCGGAGGCTTCGACTAATGTTAAGACCACACAGAATGATAAAAACTGACTTTTCTCTGCCACTCTCCCGTAAAACGACAATTACAAAGAACAGAATTAAAAAAAAAAAAAAAAAAAAAGACCATGCACATCATTTCTGAAAAAGTGTGATCCGTGCAGGAACAATGAGCGTGACGCTTAATTCTTGCTCGTTGCCCCCGCGCGCATTGCAGTTCTTATGTTTATTCGTATTCTAAAGATTGTTATTCTCTGACAGACTTCCAAAATTTTCAGTCATTGGCTACCTGAGCGTTCCGCAGAGAAGTGCACGCAACGGGAATATTTTGTTACCCTGTTGGGATTATTTTTTTTTTTTCAACGCATATTTATCTTTAATATTTATCTTTTTAATGATTGGACGAACGAAGTTTCGTGCGTGGATGTGATTTTCATAGACCAATCTGGCAAAAAAGGTCAAACTTTTAACGGGAAAATAGTAACAAATAGTTCGTGCAATTTTTGTTTTTTTTTCTTTTTTTTCGACGGTTTGAGCAAAGAAAAACACCCCTGAAAAAGTTTCCTGGCTACGCCACAGCACTATATCACCAAATCCTTGAATATAGGAAAAACTACACTGAGCAATGGTTGTGTCAAAACATTCACTTGGGATCATTTTGTCCGGAATCATTTTAACCATTTTCTCCTACACCTGTATTCCTGCAGACCTGAAACCAAGGCTTTCAAACATCTGCCGACAGTACCAGCTTCAACGGGTCTTCCTCTTCCATCAAGGGAAGCTGCTGTTGCGAGGACATAAACCTACGGGCTTGTTAGACCCCAACTTATCAATGACAACAGGCAAAAACAATAACAAAGACCCTATGCCGGTGATGCAAACATCACGTAACCACAGCTATAAAAAGGGGAACCCCCAGACATGAGCAAGACAGGGACATGCTACTGAACATTACCACTTCATGTCTCAATAAACATTGTCATCTTATAGCCTGAACCCGATTCCCTGCGAACTATCATCTTTACGCATTTGCTCAAAGTCTGATCAGTGCAAGTCCACTACAGAATCTACCCTCAATGTGAAAGGCTGCATTGCAGTCAATGGCACCGCTGACAATCCCTGCAAGTCGGCCATGCGTGGAGCACTGCCATGCTGCTTTGCATGCTTAATTTCCTTTTGCACTTTAATACTTACAGCTAGCGAAGATTTGGGGCCATTTCCTATTTATTCTCCAAATTACCCACTTCTCCCCCTCCACCCCAAAAGCCACTAAGCTGGGGCTTCCCCATTACATCTGCACCCAAGACATTCCAACGGCTAAACTAGGGCGACTGAATCTTCAGTTGAGGCCTTTAGGGCGATGCTACTTTTTTGTAGTGCATTTTGCACTCACGGGGATATAGAAAGAAATAAAGGAAAACAAAATGTTGTCGTAGTACAGCAAATGCCAAGAGCTTGTACCAAGTACATGAAGGCACCTTACACTCGGCACCACATATTTTTCGCTACATTATCAAAGCTACCATAGCTGCCACAGTGCTGCAGGCCTGCACTGCTGCGAGCATGTGACTGTCTTGCCTCTCATTCGCATGCAGTCTCGTGCAAAGGCGAGGCCAAAAAAATCCATGTGCTCAAGCAATTAACTTGGACAATGTTGGAGCACTGTAAAAGCTACGCTTGCCTTCATAACCTAGCACAAAATAGTTGACGCGGAGTGGAGTGCCGGGAGATGGTTTTTCACGTTTGAGTAAAAAATAGTAATAGCATCACAAAGCAAGATGGCCCCAATGTCACCACCCCCAACACAATGTGTTTTTTGGAGAATTTTTCTGTCAATCGTACAACCGTACAAATTGGTCAAAATTTGGGAGTCTACCGGGCAATAAGGGAGACGTCGCAGGTATGCTATACAAACCTTATCTTCAGAAAGCCAGATTGAAATCGAATTGTGGATTCCAACTGAAGGAATCTAGAAAGATTAAAATTGCCCAAGCTATAAGTAAGGCTGACACTGCAACCTGAGAAAAATAGCAACAACCAGTGAACAAAAATGTGCTGTACACGGTTTTATTTCTCTCCGTTTAGGACAAGTGCAAGAAGCAACACTGAAGCATTCTTTATACAGTATTTCCACAAGGTGTCAAAAAGCGTAGCTTCCGTGTTAAAGAAGCTTGGCGCTCATCCACGCCACCTTCAATGGGGGTCTCAGATCCCTCGTTAGTGAACACACAAAAAGAAAAAAAAAAAAAAAAAAAGCAGCTGCAACACACCACAAAACTACACCCACCCACATGCACAGAACTTAGGAGTGCCCAGAAGCGCCAGCCTCCTATAACTCGGTGAACACACACACACACATACACACAAAAGCCTAGGAATCTTTAGCCTTGGCCTGCTTCTCATATTTCTCCAGCAGGACTTTCTGGTACAAAGCCTGGTTGCTCCAGATCTCTGCCGCGTAGCCATTGAGGGGGCTCGACACGTTGGGCTCTGCACAAGAGGGAAAGGATCAGGCCCTGGGGCATCTTTGCCAGAGATGCAACACACACACGAAACCAGATCGGGTCCCCCATCACCTTTCCCCATCAGCCACTCGGATGTTTGTGCACTCTATTTATACCCGACGGGTTCCTTCAACCCTCTGCACAAGTGCCTGTTCAAAGCCACCGCCTCACTTCACTCTTTTTGAGATTCCCCAAACTTCTAACCAAATGTCCCTAATCAGATTCTTCCAACCACCACACAAAGCATGAAGCTTCATCTTTGAAGTAACGAGAGAGAATCGTAACCATCTTGAGAAAAACGCTGTAGCACCTTCACTGGTTGGCTATGTGTGGTACACAGTTGATAAGCTACCAAGCAAATGCTCCTCTACTGTTCTTTTTTTTGAGGGGTAAAAAAGAGGCATTTCAGGACTCTACACTATCTTCTAGCCACGTCTAAAGGTCTATTCACAGGACCGATTTTTCCCTCCACAGAGGGGATTGGATGTCATTGTTATTTGAGGTCATGCATGTTTGCTAATCTGTTTCCTTGCAGAGAACCACTGCCCCCAGCAAGAGTGTAGTGAAGGTCATGAACACATTCAAGAGAAGGGAAACTCTGCCAACCGAACTACGCACAACTCAGTCGTGCGAGTGCTCTGCCTAATTATTTGAAAGGCCGACCCTACAGAATCATCTGCCGGGAAAGAAAACCGGTTCCCCGCCTCTCCAGTCCCCCACGCACCTTTCTCTCCTCCCCCGACAAAAGCAGGTCTCTAAACTACTCCCTGCAGAAAGAAGGAGCATTTCCCTCCTCCTCAAAGGAAAGGAGGAATTGAGGGAGTTTCCTCCTTTCTGGTTGCTTGTCGGCACCTTTAACTGCCTCCCCTTCCTCACAGCTCACATGTGAGCAGACCATAAAGGGGATCCAATACATAGCACACAGCTTTTAAAACTGAATTTATGGTTACAGCACAGAGAAAAATGCAGACTTCCCAAAGTGGTCCCCAAATAAGGGGGTGGGGGTCGTCACCCTGGTCTGGCAGGGTTTAGCTACTCTATAGGCAAATATTACCGAGATTCAGGCACGTAGCCAGGATTTTGTTTCGGGGGGGGGGGCACCCATGACAAAATGCTGTATGAAGGGGAGGGAGGAGAGGAGGTCCCAGCAAAATGAAAAGATTTCGAGGGGGGGGGGGGGGGGGGGGGGGGGGCTGGCTACATGCCTGCCGAGATTCCAGACAAGTTAATGAAGCACTCAGCTGAGAATTTATTTACACTGCCCGGTGGACTTTGTAAGATATGTTTTTTTGGAAACCATGAAATAGAAATATAAAAAGGCCTGTGCCTGCATATTTTGCCTTCAGAAAGTGTGATTGAAATGTACTCGTGATGATGTCAATGCACACTAAATGCTTGCATATCTGGAGAAGCTCTTCTTTTGAAATTATGTGCACAGACCAGAGCGGAGAATAAAAGTCAAGTTGATTTAAATCCTGATTTAAATCACACTGGTCTATTTCAATCAAACTTTTCCAACAAAAATAATACACAATTTTTTTTCATTCAGTTTGTCTATTTATTACTTGATACTTTCTGTGTGCACTTGTTTTGTATTTAAATTTTTAAGAAAATCACCAAGCAAAAAATTTAAAGCAGATTGAACACAAACAACTCTTCTAAGCAAATCGGAGCATTTAGCTTGTTTTTATGTTCCACTTTGTTCGTCATTTATGTAATGCAGCTACTGCAAACAAATCAAAACTTGAAAGAAACCAAAACAAGAAAAGTAATGCCCTATTGCAAGCAAATCAGAATGTAAAAGAAAAAGCTAAATCAGCTTTATCACTACCTAAAAAAAAAAGTTGCTTTTGTTCTAGTATGGTGGGTTGACATCAATTTAAAGTTATTAATTAAACTAGTTAAAAATCTGAAATGTACAGTAATCCTTTCTTCCATATTGTGTTTAGTGGTGGAGCAAATTGATCAATCTGTCAAATTTAAAAATGCATATAGTGATAAAGCATCACTTTTTTCTAGCTACAGGCTCTGTTCAGATAAGATCATGCGTGCGAGTCTGGAAGTATTTCTTGTTTTTGTTGATTTTTTTAGTATGTTACTCCTCAACATGTGTATGAAACGTAATAAAAGATTTTGCAAAAAACAAAATATCTGAAGAGAAATAAGATTTTAGGAGTGTGCCAACACGGCATTTTGATTTTTGAAGTTTTTGTTTAGGTCCCCCCCCCCCCCCCATGCTTGGCAATACCTACAACACAAACTACAAATATCAGAAATCTAAAATATTTTCTATTAATAATAGATCATGGGAACAATTGGTGTAGATATGTACAGCATTGTGGAGGGTATATATTTTGCATCAAAAATTCGCAAACATGGCTACTTTGATGTTTTGTCACAAGATTTATGAGCTGTTATCTAAAAAGAAATGTAATACAACATTAAAATGTATGTCATGTATTCTTATTAAAATGTTCTTTCAAATAATATATAAATCATTGCTTTATCTAAAAAATAAAATGTTTATGACCCTCCAAACATGCTCTAAAGTACAAAGTTGGAAAATTTCCAGAGGCAATTAAAAAAAAAAACATCTTCGATTTTCCTGAAACTCAGTTATAGTTCTCCACCATACTGTTGTGTTTATTCATAAAAAAAACATGTTGCATCATTTTGTTTCCTTCAAAGTTACAACGCTGCAAAGTGTACCTTCCATGCCGGCATTTTTGCCCAATGTCAAAGACGAGATTATCTTTTGATTCCCTGTATTTTATGGCTCTATAAATATATATACAGGGTGTCACAAAAGAAAATTTACACTGTCTTTTTTACCGAAAAGATAAACTAGGCATCGCCGAACGCTCATTCTCCGCCCAAAGGTAGCTAGAGGTCACAACCAGATGCCAAAGTTTCAGCCCGATTTGATAACGTAATCAAAAGTTATAAGCGATTTTCTGAAAATTTCAACGAGAAAATGGCGGCCGACGGAGTTTTCAAACACATGGGACTCTATTGCACCAGAAACCGAAAACGGGCAAAAATGGGCTCCATTTTCCCATTGAAATTTTCAGAAAATCCCTTATAACTTTTGATTAAATTATCGGATCGGCTGAAACTTTGGCATATGGTTGTGACCTCTAGCTCTGCCTCTTGGCAGAGAATGAGCGTTCGGCGATGCCTAGTTTATTTTTGCGGTAAAAAAGACCATGTAAATTTTCTTTTGTGACACCCTGTATATATTTTTTTTTGTGCTGTATTCGGGTAGTGGGCTCAGGCTGTATTCTACTAATTAAAAGAATACCCACGTTGCTCTTCCTTTGCATTTATTTAACCAATAAGCATGCTTTGCTCTTTAAAGTTACAAGTTTTAGGAGCTTTAGCCGAATTTTTTCCACTTGTAATTACTACTACCTTTTTTTTTATAGAAAGTAGAAAAGTAAGAACAGTGGTGCAAATTATATGCAAACATTTATATCTATATTCGCAATGAAATGGAAAGGTTTGAGCCACCAAACTTGTTAAATTGCTATTCACGATGGTTGTAGGTCCGGCTGGCCAAGTTAAACCTGTGACTTCACTGGCAGGCGGCAGAGCTTTTTAAAATTCGAGGCCAACCTGCAATCTAGACCAAAGAAGGTAGACCTGTTATAGTACTGAGCATAGTTTGAGCCTATCTCGCTAACCAGGTGCTCCCCCCCGTCAGCAACTGCTCCTAGCGCAAAGCGGTGTTAGCTCGACGCACGCAGCCTCGTGAGAGGAGGTGAAGGTTGACGCGAGCAGCGCAAGTGCCACGGTACTCGTAGCCAAGACAAAGAGGCATGCGACAGACAAGCAAGTCATCAGGAGCACACCCTGGGTCGGTCTTATTGTCTTTTGCAAAGTTTTCTCACCATGTTTAGCCACCAACATCACTCACATTGACTGGAAATTTAGACCATGACTCGTGCAACCGGCCAGCGCGGTTGACGAGAAATCTGTCTCACCTTAAAGGCCGACCTACAAAATCAATTTCTGCAAGGTAAGAAAATCCTCCTTGACACCCCCCATTTCTCCCTCCCACTGCTATCTTGTCTAGAAAGTGGGGGGCATTCCTTTTGTAGCTGCATCTTGGGGCTGGATAATCCAGCTTATCCAGCCCCAAAATGCAGCAACAAAAGGAGTTCCCCACTCCCCCCCCCCCCCCCCCCAAGGTCAAGATAGCAGTGGGTGAGGGGGAAATGGAAAGGGTGGCAAGGAGGATTTTCCTACTATGTGGAAAAACTTTTTTTAGGTCGGGCTTTGAACGCGCCACGAAATAATTTTTGGGCTGGGATAAATACATTTAGATTGGGATTTTACTAATAGCACATTATTTAGAGTTGAAAACAAAAGAGGTTACAAAGTCAAAAGCCTGGCTTACAGCACGAAAATTTGAAAACATAGCAGACTACTTTGTACCTACTTTCCTTCAAAAGCTCTCTGCGTTTTCACTGCGATACACTCACGGTGCCAAAAAAACGTTAGCCGACCCCAGCTCATGCGTTGAACGCAAGCAATGCGTCACTGTACTATCTCACTATACCCCTTTCATCTCTAAGCTGACAGTGTGGCTACAGGCTTGCCGGACCAATCGGCCACCTCCCTTTCATCACATGACCCCATTTTCTGCGCGAGGGTATGCGCAAGGAAGCGTGATTATGTGGCAAAAGATGACTGCCCCAATGAGCACTGTCAGCTTGGGGAGAAAGGAGGATACTGTCGAGACCGGTTATAATGAAGTCAACGGGAATCGGAAATCGCTTCGCTATATCCGCTTCTTTGTTATATATGAACTCGTACAATAACATTAAAAAAAAAAAAAAAGATAACACGGGTTGTCACAAGCCCATGTTTATCGAGCCTGCAGAAAGCAGTCGAGGAATCCCTCGACCGCTAGATCGGAGCTGCTTCTCACCAACTGCAAGAATCTCCAATCGAAAAAAGATCCTGCTACATACGGACCGTGTCAACAGCTGCAACGGCCGCCACAGAGAACACCGGCGGTGGACAGCATTCTTTACGCTTATGCACACTCCGTCGAGGATGGCACGCTTTTGAACCAAGGAGATTGACTTGGTCTTTTCCGTCGAGGTGCCGGCGGTGCCGCGACTTTCCATCACTGAGTGGCGATAATTCGCTAAATCGGTGCTTGAGCGAAGTAGACTTCCAAGCAAGAGCGACCTCACTGACCAGACCCAGACACAAATCACGAAGCAAAGAAAGAAGCGCGCACGGCACCGAGTTCGCGCTTAAGCATATCTGCCATCGGGATTGAGAGCCTAGATTTAAGAGATGTAGCAACTGCTCAATCGGGGTCACGTGGTTTGTGGGTTGCATTTGCAAAATGAGCTGCAGCACACAAGGAGTCAAAACTCAAAAGCGTTCACCTCCTCCAAACGTGTCCGCCTCGCCACACTGGCCATGCAACAATCGAATGCAGCCGTACTTACTGCTCCCTCTCTTAAACTCCGTCATATCCGCCAGTATGTTGCCGTTAGCACTTCAAATGCCCCTATCGTCATGCCACGACGGCCTCTCCACGAGCGATGCGGTAAAGCCGCTTCCCAGATAAGGAGCGGGGAGCAGACAACGTTGCACAGACTGCTGCCGGCAGTTTTTCCAGCATTTGCATCCTGCTCTGGGTGGCTTCTTGGCAATCCGAGACTTAGTAAATTTTCCGAACTTTATTCTTTTTTAAATTATCGCAAAATTTCTCTTCTCTATATGCGTGCGAGCCGCTCAATTTTGTTCGCTAAAAACAGACACAAATGCATTGTAAAAGTGCAAACGGGAATGGGAAATCATGATTGCTTCGCTGTAGCCGCTATTTCGTCATAACTGGTCTCGACAGTAGATGCGTGCAGCAGTACTACGGAAGCCACGGTCAAGAGAGGGGGAAAGCAACTTTTGTCCGAATTTTGAGTGACAAGCTAATCTTCTAGGGGGACAATGGCGACGCGTGGGTACACAAATGAGGGTAGTCTTGAACTGCTAGTGGTATACTCTGGCACCTGTACCTTTGGTAACACTGCGCGATTTCTGAGTTGAAGAGGAAAGCTAAAAAGGAAAAAGTTGAAAAAACATTTCATGGACCCTTTGAAGGGACGGTGCAACGATTTCCGGACTTTGGCCAATTAACTGCGGGAATTAATCTGTTACCCATGAAACGAAGAACAGAAAACCATTTTTTCTTGCTAGATTTTTTTTTTTTTTTTAGATAAAACAAACTGAAGGTGCTTTTTATTTCTGACATTGTCTTTCGAGTGACATCTCTGGGGGACCAGCTGGTTCCCCAGTGGGCTCTGTTTTCACAGCTGCTTCCTCCGCAAATGTACTTTTCAAGGACAAGCATCGCCAGAGGTCATAGTGAACGATCGACACAAAAGACGTTTTGCCACGGGGCGAGTGTAGCAGTGGAGGGGGACAAGTTTTATTGACTTCCGCAAGGCCCCCTACAAAGCACCGGCACAGTTCCCGTAACCGCCAAACGTGGCTGCAGATCCGCAAGTAATCTGTTTTTTCCTTTGCAATTATGCACCGGAATAGCAGCCCTTCTGGGAAGGTGGCACGTTTTTCTCACTTGTGCCCAGATAAATTATATTAAAAATACAAAATGCAAATTCTTTCAACTATAAAATCGTTGCACTGTCCCTTCAAGTCAAAGCGCAGCCGACGCTACAAGCCAGTGGGACGAATCAAACAGCGTCAAAGCGCAACATCATGGCATTTGCCACCTTCCAATAAGTGTTCTTTCATCAGCTAGGCCAATCAAGTACAGCGAATGTCCCGGGACTTGCACTTTTAGCATGCTTGTTCGTGGTTGTTTGTGTTCAAGCCGTCGACTATGCTCTGACCTAAGATGAGACAAACTATGCGGCAAGTAGAGATGCTCAAAACATATTCACACCACTTTTCTTTCCTCCTACTTCTCTGAATAATAGAATCGACGAATAATTAAATATATTAATTTCTTTTCTTTTGTTAAAGCCCATTCGGCACAGTTGTGGTGCAATTCTTAGCAAAAAATGGCATTTTGGCACAAGATGTAGCAGACTCATTCATGGCGCAATTCGGTGCAAATGACGCAGCACTTCCACCACTAACAATTTGTGACTAACAAGTGCCCCTCACAGGGAACGGAGTGAAGGAGACACTTTAAACAAAGTATTCAATCATGCTTGTTTGATGTGGATGGCCGGCACTGCCAGCCAGATAAAGAATGCTTTATCAATGTTGCCTGCACATGAGCGCCCACTGGCAGCAATGACTCGCAGGTGCATTTATCTCGCAAATATTGGCACATAAAACAATAAGTAACATCTGCTTCATGGTTCATAAAATTTTCTCCTGAGCACTAGTCTGCTAAGCAATAAAAATTATTTCATGGTCTCTTCAAAACAGCGCTAAAATGCTCCCTCCACAGTTTCAACCTACCTGAACCACCCAGGGCTAGAAATATAATAGTAAAGAACAACACATCCAAACTTAAAAAAAAAAAAAAAAAAAAAAAAAGAAAAGGACACTTTCTCTTTAGTAGAATCTTAGAAGCTGCAATGTACACACCTCCGAGAAGAGACTGAATGGAGAGCAGGACTGTGCGAACGTCCAGGAGAGCTGTCCACTTCTCCTTTAAAATGTCCAAGCAAATGTTTCCCAGCGAGTCCACATTGGGGTGGAAGCAGGGTGTCTCAAAGCGAACCTGGGGCGACTCGTACGGGTAGGTGCTGGGAAAGTCCAGTACAAGACGGTACTTGAGCTTCTCATAGACCTGCACCAAAGCAGACAGCATCATGGATTAAGGAACACGTCAAGCCATTCCACACTCAGTGGATGGATCCGCAGCACCTCAAGTGTACCTTACGGCCTAGGAAAGCAACTAAGTGAACCAACTTCAACACAAAAGCGGAATATAAGTTTCATTTCTTAAAGCGCTCACAAGGTCATCTTGGTACATTTTTCTCGTCATTAACCCATTTTCAAACGGATCGGTCAACTGACTGTGGCCTTGCTAAAAAAACTCAGTAAACTAAATATCGACCCTAAAGTTCTCAATTGGATTCATTCTTTCTTGACTAACCGCAAACAATCGGTTACCACCAATGACTCTAGCTCCACTTTAGTTTCTGTCACTTCACGAGTACCACAGGGTTCAGTCTAAGGACCTTTGCTATTGTTAATCTATATCAATGACTTACCATCTCATATTTCATCCAATATTTCACTATTCGCTGATGACTGCATCCTATACAGCGAAGTAACCAATAACCTTGAATCGAGACAGTTACAAATAATAATAATGCAGTGTCACTTCGGTGCGAATCATGGTCAATGCAATTAAACTTTACTAAACGTAAATCTATGCGCATATCCAGATGTATAGCAGTACCTGCAGATTCTAATATTAAAGGAATTGCATTAAAGTCGGTCTCAGAGTATGAGTACTTTGGTGTACATATCACGTCTGATCTAACATGCAAACATCACATAGATAATGTAACTAACAATGCACATCGCGTGCTGGGATACTTTAAGAGAAACTTTTCATTGGCACCCCAATCATTAAAGGTGATACTGTACAAAACACTCGTACGACCGAAGCTAGAGTATGCATCATCTATTTGGGACACTGGTCAATCTTCACTAGTTGCATCACATGAAGCCATACAAAACAGATCAGTAAGTTTCATTTGTTCTAAATATCATCGAACGGCAAGTATATCGTTTATGAAGGCTAACCTTTCACTTCCACATCTCTCAGCGCGCAGCAAAAATCGCTCGGTGAAGTCTATTTTCACAAAATTTATTACACTAATGCTGCACTGTGCAAAAGGCTTTTTGAGCTTCCTTTCTATGTTTCGAGTCGATCATCAACATAAAGTTGCCATCCCTCATTCAAATTGCAATGCTTTTTATCATTCTTTTGTACCATGCACATCTCATGAATGGAACCACCTTCCGGCCCCCATTGTTTCAATGGTTGACAGTGCTCTTTTCAAAAAGGCGTTGATTAGTATCTTTACTTGATTTTGTTAATCATGATGTTTATCGATTTTCCCAAGCGAGTTTTTCACTATCGACTCATTGTTCCCCCACTCCCCCTCTGTAATGCTTTATGCCCCGAGGGTAAATAAATTAAATGAAACCCCTGCCTCAAGTGCATTCTCTTCCACAGCAATGGCAGCCAAAGATCTCATCCCACATCATCTACCTTTCGGCCGAGTAAATGGTTCAGATTCTCACAGAGAGCCAGCAAGTTCTCAGGTACGACTGCTACGCAGTTTGCACAAGCGTGCCGATCCATGTGCAAGTTAAGTATACCAACCCGCAACGCCAGAGGGACATAAGCTTCTTTGTCAATTTCGAGGCTCGAAGCGGACTATTCCTTTCAGTTTCTTCGCAAACTTGTCCAGATAGCCATGGGAATTAAGACATTGACATTGCCGCGGAGACTGCCACGGGGCGTCAATAGTCAAATGCAACACATGAGCACTGCACGAGCACACGACTTGGACTACATGGTTGGGGATGAAATAATCACTGCGGTGACGGGAATATACCTAAACCCTAACAACATGTGGAGCAGAGCACGAGCCCTGTGCATTGCCAACCTCGTTGCACATCTACAACACACGGTCGACACCAGGTTGCGTGGTTACCTGGTCTGGATCAGAGCCATATATTGGGAGAGTCTGGCCAGTGGGTGTGGCGACGAAGGCGCCGGAGAGGGGAAAAGTGAAGGAAAAGGAGGAGAGCGCCGAAGGAGCGAGAGAGCAAGAAGGGAGCAATGAGGAGACGACCGCCATTTTGACGCAACGCTGTCGGCGCCGAGCACTGTTGTGGCTATGCGTCGTCTGCTACGGGCTTATTTCTCTTTTGCCTGAATAAAAGCTTGCGTTCAAATTTGGAGAAATTACATTCATTAGCTTTTTAAGGCACCGAAGAATAATGCTATATCATTTTCTTGTTAGAGCCCGCCACATAAAAAAGAGAACCGAAATTCGGATGTCGATCCCATGCATTCCGCTACGAATTCAGCAAAGCGAAGGAATGAAAATGGCGGCCCTCCCCGCTCAGCTGGGAGCAGCCGGGAGTTCACGCGCATGCGCTCACTCCTCTCGCTCTGCGCCGTGGGCTGGTTAGCTCACTCGGGAGGGGGGGCATTACAGCGCCGAGATCATAGACTGGCCATACACTCTCCATATATGGCTCTGGTCTGGATATGAGTTGAAGTGGGTTAGCCCCGTTTGGTTTTCTCGATTTCTCTCCCTCCTTAGACTGCTAGAACATGGAGGAAAATCTAACACAAGTATTGCAGGTTATGAATGGCAAGGATTCCTTCTGAGCAGTGTTTAGTGAAAGAAAGAATTGGTCAATTTTGGAGGTTCTACGTGCCAAACTAACGAAGGTCATTCAGTACACGTCAGCGGAAGACTGAGGATTAACTTCGACCACCTGGGGATCTTTTGACATGCAACCGACAGCTCAGTTACACGGCTTTCTCCGCAATACACCACCAACAGATTGTTGGCAACTCGGCCAAGATTGGAACCTGCCATGTGGGGATACACAAGCCGGCACTTTGCTTCCAAGCCACGGTGGTGGCCTTTTAAGTGAAAATAAAAAAACAAAAAAAAAAAAAAAACTTGAAAGTGTGTCAGGAACTTGTTTCAATAAAAACATTAATTACAGCAAAAGGCTATAAGTATTAGGCACCAATGAAATCATAGTTTGCACCAAGAATTGAAAGGTTATCACCGTTCCCACAGGCCCCTGAATTGTCCCAATCCAGTGAAAAAGGTTGTCGCCATCTGGAAATGCGGAGACCGTCTTGTCGCCCGACATCTGCAAAACATACATTCTGGTAGCAAACCTGTTTAATGCAGGAAGCAGCTGTTCCCACAATCATACATTGTCAGCTTACCATAAGAGTCATTAATTCCTGCTGCAGTCTGGAAAGAAATGACATGCTTAAAGTAGGCAAGGAGTTCATCTAAAGTGCCTTCCTTGTCTAATTTCCATGACTCTCAGCTAGGCTGCTTACAGTTGGCAATTGAAACACCCACATCTCGTTCACCAGTAGGTAACTTTTCAAATGAGGCTATTCACTTATTGCGTATGCTTACAAGTGGTTGTCAAGCAATCGACAGGCGAAACCTAGAACAGCCGCAATAGGAAGGAAAGACTCGGTGTAACAAAGGGGTAGTGGCAACGTGACTAGGTACAAAGTAAGCCAAATGTGTTCAGAAACGTTCCCTTTCACTTCCGAACATGTTTCACAGAGCTAGGCTGTTCACGCCACCGTCTTGTTGGCAAAAAGCTATCATAAAATCAGAGACAAGCGGACACATTTCACAGCAGCTGAACAATAGCTATCCAATATCCTTATAGATGCGGAAAGAACCGTCAACCGACTCTGATGAAAGGTAGAGGCGATAATCACAGACGCGAGCACTGCATACAGCATCGATAAAAGCTCAATATATTTGTCACACCTGAAAATTTACACATACCCCTGGCTACATTTTAGGCCTACAAACACCAAGCGATACACTTTTGTCAAAAGAGTTGGTACCGTTTTGCAACCGAGTGTTTCCCAGTGTCCACCCTCCTCTGTTCATCGCTGCTTTTCATGTTGCCACCAAGAGCCAAAGGATCAATGTTTTGAGAAGCCATTCTGGATTTCTGAGCGCAGGCCTGCAAATCGGACGAACTGACCACCATGCAAGCTTACGTTTAAAAACTAACGAACCCAAGCACTGACCAATCAGCGTGGCCGGCATTTAGAAACGAAAGATGCAGCGCAATAGCCCAATTTTCGAATTATAGTTTAGCCTGTGAGATTTTTGCATTTACACGTAAGCATTTATAGTTAGAAATATTAAAATTTATATATTTTTAAAAACGCACGGAGACGCAGTGGAGACATAGTTATTATAATGTACGCTAGAGGTTCAACTGGCGCTAGTGTCTATGCGACTTCCGGGTAGTATGACGAACCTTGATCACCTTGATTAACATTGAAAAAAGTGGAATTGCTTTAGTTACGGCATTTTTCTTCACCAGTGAACGATCAAACCGTATGTAAAATTGAGCGACGTTTTAAGCGTGTTCAAAGTTCGCCAGCATTCCGTCCTGTCACTGTATAAAAATGACCTCGTCTTGCATCTTTACGAGCGGTTAAAAACATTCGAAACGTAAAGAATAAAGCACGTACGGTACTGACAGCTGTCTCTTTTTATCCAGTGTTACTGCGTAGTTTTTGCCGTCTCTTTTGGTTTTCCACATGTCCTTCGTTCGTTTGGAAAGCGCCGACGCAGTGTTCGCGCTGACAGTGTCCGATAGTGCACATGCATAAGCATAAGTTCATGTATGAAGCGGTTTTAGCACAGTTTTTCATACCACGAATTTAAAATGAAAACGCCGTAACTGACGAATTATTTCGTTTGCGTGATTGGGAAATGTTCCAATCTACCTAGAACGTACGAATTATTCGTGGTATTTACTCTTATAATCAAGCGCAGGGAGAAAATGCACTCGCCGAACGTTTAAACTCTAGACCTCTAGACTCTAGCGTTTATTATAATAAGTCTACGAGTGGAGAGACGCCAAAAGGCGCGGGTGAAGAACATGAATAGATGAATAAATATGGCTGAAGCCTTTGAATCAGGCGGCAACTTTCGCCCTTTCGCCACCTAGCTGCTGCCTAGCTGATCTAATCCACGACCAACTCTAATCAGACAAGCCGCTGCCTGTATGTAGTGGGGTGCCTTCATGTTGTACTACGTATCTTCCAGCGATCTAGCGGTGTTCCTATTTTTTTTTTTTTTTAGAAATCTCAGAAATTAAGTTAGTTTGTAACCGCGGTTACGTGTAAATGGTGAGGCACGAGTTCGTGGTTCTGACCGGCCGCCCCGGAGTGGGGAAAACAACTTTAGTGAAGCGTGTGGTCGAATCGCTCACGAAACACGGGGCGAGTGTGTCGGGCTTTTACACGGAAGAACTGAGAGAAAATGGGCGTAGAATCGGCTTTGATGTCATCACCACGACTGGCAAAAGGGGTCCGCTGGCTCGAATACGCGAATTGTGCGGAGACGAAGCGGGGCCGTCGGTGGGGCAGTACTGCGTCAACCTCGTGTCATTTGAGGCTGTCGCTCTCGAGTCCCTGCAAGCACCTTGCGATGTCGTCATTTTGGACGAAGTCGGCAAGATGGAACTCTTCTCTCAACGCTTTCAGCAGCGAGTGCAGGAGCTCATTTTGAGTCCGGACCGTTGCATCCTCGTCACCGTGCCCGTTGCCGGAGGGAGACCGCTGCCTCTGGTCGAGCGGATAAGAGGTCACCAAAGCGCCACGGTCATCGAAATAAACCACGATAATAGGAACCATCGACTCGCGGAGATATTGTCCCTAATTCACGATGCTATCCGTAAATAAACGCAGGCATACGTGCCCGTAACACACTACCCCCAGTCGACTTGAAAATTATTAACTGCGCAGTTACGATTGACTCGGGTTTCGCGAGGCGAAGGCTGCCGCTTTTGGAGTCGCGGTAAAAGGCGGGGACCCGATCCACGCCGGAGTCAAATTTAGATGCTGAGGTGTTCGGCTGCTGCAGACCACGGCAGTAGGGTGCGCGCTGGCCGTCGCCGCGAAGAGCCCGAAGACGTCGCGTAAAACTGCAGATGCGTAAGTCAGTGAAATTCCCTTCGATCTTGAGAGTGCTGCTTTACGCGACTTCTTTCGTACGCAGCCAGTTTTAGCGTCGTGTTTGCTTGTCAAGTAGGAACGATCGTAGCGAAGGCCGTACATAAACAACGCAGCTGCGCTATTTTCTTCAGTATTGGTTTGGACGTTGGCTAGCTGTCATGAGAGACAAACAAAAGGGCTCTGCTGCACCCCAGCAGTCTGTCTCGTATCCAGATGAGGTCGGATGCTGCGAAAATCTTCCAGAATGCATCATTGTCAATATTCTTCTACACCTTCCACTAAGCGACCGCTTTCACGCAGCTCTGAGCTGCAAACAGTGGTACGCTGCGTTCACCACTCGGGCATGCTGGAAGCATTTCCACTTCAGCTTTTACAGCCGCAAAGACGCCCGGCTACTCCAGTGCATAGACCGCTTCGGCAGCCATCTCACGCGGGCAACCATTCAACTTAACCAGTTCCAAAACGTCAACCGTACAAATGCGGTGCAAGCACTATCGCTCCTCGCCAAGAGTTCAGAGGCACGGCTGTCGCACCTGAAGATCAGCTGCACGGGGGAAAACCCTCTCTTCTACGCAGGGAAAGAATTTGTGTCTGCTCTGGAAGGACTCTTCGGAAAGCCCAACAGCCGCCTGGTTCATGTGGACCTCAGTGGTTTTCCCATGATGATAGACTGTTGTACAGTTGATGTGCTGTCCCAGAACAACCCTCTACTGGAACACCTCAACATCCAGAATAACAACCTGATCTGTTTGGTGCTGCCAGGCTGCATTGTCAGGCTTGCCCAGCGTTGCAGGCAGCTGCGCGAGCTCCACATCCACATGTGCAGCTTATCTCGGGAAGCCATGCTATGCTTTCTTGAAGCCAACCGCGTTAATCTGGAACACCTGTCGCTGAAGTGCCGCAGCGGAGAGGCTTACACCAACAGCCCGCAGACCGACAACGACCAGCTCAGTTCGGAGCTATGGTGGAAGGTCCGCAGCATGCTGCCCAAGCTCGGGGTTACCCTCCACTTCGATCAGACTTGCCCGCTTGTCGTGATTCCTGTCATCATGAAGCCCGAAGTCCCCTGCAAAGTGTTGAGGCTCGAGACGTTTACCATCATCCATGACATGGTACTGCAGGCTGCAGAAACCTACTCGGAAACACTTGAGAAGCTCATCCTTCAGGCACCGCCTAGCGTTGAACTCGAGAATGCCCTTCTGAGACTGTCCACGAGATGTCGCAAGCTGAAAGCACTGCACGTCTTCTGCCCTCTTACTGCTGGGACAATACATGCAATACTGGAGGAGCACCCACTCATGAAGAAAAGTGGACTGTTTACCCTAAGGTCCGAGAGGGGTACGGATGGCCCTTGGGCCTCGGACGAAAAAGTGGATGCATGAGGTGGTACTGTTGTGCACTACGCCTGTCAGACTGCCTTCTGATGCAAAGCTTGGGGATGTGCAGCCTGCTGCAAGAGTAGTTGCTATGCTGTGTCAAACTTTGCTGCAGTGCATGAGCTGACAAAATAAGCCTTTGTTCCCATGGCCTTTTGCGAGACGGGTATCCTGATCAAATTCAAAGCTCCTAAAGTCTGCTTATTTCATTGCGATTTGGGAGACCCCTCTCGCACGCCCTTTTGGAAACTACAGCGAATGTTGCGAAATAGAGGAACATTGGGTGCTGATAAAAAGTAAGAGTTTTACGGCACAGTCACAGATACTGTAATCCTACCTATTTTCTGAATATCATGATAGTCAGTGTTCATACCATATGCACAAAAGCTGACCATTCCTTCTCCACCAACTTCTGGTTTGGAACATGTTCCAAAAATGGACAACATACATATAGGGTGACCACCTTCCTGCCAGCAAAAAGCGGGACACGCTGACGGCGGTGGGGGGATGAAATGAGCAGGGCAGCATTATCACAACTGCAGCAACTAAAAAAGAACATGGGAGGCAATATATTAACACGCACACCACGAAATGTGGCTGACGGCATATTATACACTTGCAAACTGTATTATGGCAATTAATCTTAAATAATTTTCACCCCCAGTGATATACAAAAATATATATATATATATATATGTAATTTTTTTTTTTTTTTTTATGCCAGATGTTATTAAATGTGTCTAAATTGAAAACATCAAAATAGGCTACAGCAAAACTCAATGCATCAAAAGGAAAAAAACAGTAAATCTTTTTCGGCTCATTGTTTCCTGTCGATGCTTACCAACATGCTCTTACACAAATTGCGACCATTGCGAGTTGCAGGCACCTTGTGTGACCATCTTCACTAAAAATATTTCACAGCAACCCTTTCGCATTGACACAGCTTGATTTTAAAATAATTACAATAATTAATTTTTCAGCTTTTGGCTAGCAATTTTCTCTAGCAGTACTTTTCCACTAAGGGGAGAGGCACAAGGGCGCATGTGCATCGGTTTTCCAGCAAGAATGACGGTCTCTTCCCGCAATGCTAGGATAGAAAATGGCATACCATCGCGATTCACACGATTACGAGCAACCGCCACGCTTCCCAGTGCCTCGCTGTTCGGCAGTGCCACGAGTTGAATTTTACGACGTGAAGGTGCAGGACATTCTGAAAATTTTGCTATATTTTGTGGGACACGAGACGCAAGCCCTCCAAGCGGGATAGAGTCGCGGGACGGGTGGTCACCCTACATACTGTACATACCTTATCCAAATTGGAAGGTGGGTTAGCGACTGAAAAACGGAAGTAGAAGTGAAGATCACCACCATTTAAAAGTGACAGTGTTGTTCGGCAGCTTGCATGCAAGCCTGCTATTCCACAGCTCCACTTGCTGAATGTGTTTTTATTTATTTGTACAGCAAATACAGAATTCTGCATTGTTACTGGACAGCATTCCAGAAAATAGCTTCTGAAGCATTGTTTCTTCTCCCAAACGTTCCTAGTTTTCTGTTTATGAGATGCTTTTTGTTCAACATACGAATTGCAGGTCCTTCCACCATCTGATGGCACATCGTCATGCTCTGGGTTAAATGGCAACTATGCCACTTAATTAAGCATAAGCAAAAGGGAAAAAAAAAAGTATTTTTGGCACATTAGTGGTGTTCCTACAGCAACTTATTCATTATTTTAACACAAAAAAGTGAAAGACGTTTACAATTCTCTGTAAAGCTGAATTGGAGCGCAGCTCTTGTGAAGGAGGAGGGTATGTCCATGCTTCCCTTCCGTACCCTTTCCTCCTCCTCTCCTGCCCCCCTCCCATTTAGCGGGGAATTTTCGCTAAATTTCCCGCTACATTAAAAGCTAAAATTTCCCCGCTAAATTTAGCTGCAAAATATTCACGCTAAACTTAGCGGGAAATTTACCAACATTTTTCTGCTACATTTAGCAAAACTTTTACCGCTAAATTTAGCGGGGAAATTGAATACGTGTTGAGGTCACGTGACGTCAATTTCCCCGCTAAATTTAGCGTGACGTCATAAAGGTAAAATTTTCTGGCTAAATTTGACAGGAAAATGTTTCAATAGATTTGGCGAGAAATTTTTCCGCTAAAATTGGGGGGGGGGAATTTCCTACTTAATTTGGCGGAAAATGTTTCCCGCTAAGTTTAGTGAAAAATTTTCCTGCCAAATTTAGCGTGAAAATTTTACCCTCGTGACGTCACGTGTGACGTCAATATGGGAAACGTCCCATAATGTAACGCATGGTTACGCCGACGCCAGTCAACCCAAAAACAAACACATGTGCTCTACAAAAAAAAAAATTCAACTCCTTCAAAAAATTTAGCTATTGTACAACTTTATTCGGGGAAATAGCACATTTGTGGACTAAAGATTGCAAGGCTGGGCAAGCCTTCAAGCCTCATAAGTTGGAGAACAGGTTTAATTTATTTTGCCCCCGAGGAAATGCAGAAAAAATTAAAAACTCGCACGACAGGACGAACCACCAGACGACATGATGATGGTCAATGCAGCTTGCCAGACGGCATTCACCGGGAAAAGTCAGAATCTTTGCGGAAAGACATTTGCCTCAGGTTCGCCCATTTGCATCGTCCTCTAGATAAGACACCTTTGTGATCTCCTCCTCGTCAAATTGGTCCTCCGTTTCGTGTGGAAGGAACTCTGCTGTATCCGACGCCTGCTCTTCCTCCCCTTGGAAGGCCTGCAGGGGGGCCTCCCTCTCGGCCCGGGCTGCCAGCTGCTTCTTGAGCCGCCTCTGGTGCACAAACTCGGCAATGCCCGCTGCACTCGCCTCGCTGAGCCTGTCGCTGTCTGAGCTGACCCCCTCGTCCAAGAGGTGCCCCTCGGACACAGGGTCATCTGCCGGGGTGCGGTGTCCTCCCTTGGCCCTCTTCATTTTGAGCAGCACCTGCCGCATGAGCATGGCACGGTCCAGGCCGTAGACGTTGGTCTTCATGCCCTCGGGTGGGACGGGCGCTGCTGCCGACTGGGAGGTAGTCGAGCTGCTCTCCGTACCTTTGCCTTCCTCCACCATGCTGTCCTGAATTAAGAAAAAGCGGTAGAGGACCAATGTGTATGCGCCGCATGACCCTCGATGTTGTCGTTAAAGGAGCTGTGCAACGATTTTATGTTGAAAGAATTTGCATCTTCTACTTTTGGCATTGTTTATCTTGTCACTAAGGACAGAAAACACATCTCCTTCCTTCGAAATGTTGCGATTCTGCGGCGTAATCGCGAGGCAAAAATTTGAATATTTCCCGACCTGTAACCGCGAGCGGCGGCCATGAGAACCACGCGGCATGACATCAATGGGGGACTTGTAAAAAGCTAGGAAGTTGCGCAAATACCTGCTCGATAAAATGTCATTTTTCCATAAATCTTGTCGTTCCAACATAAATATAAATGCGTCAAAAGCCTGGTATCATCGACAAAACTTTTATAATACGGAGTTTTAGTGGTGCCATCTATCCAAGGTCAACGAAACCGTCGGCTCTGTCTGCTACCACGAAAAGCCACCAGAAGCCGGAGGGGGATGGGGGCAGAGCCGGACGGGGATGGGGGCAGAGCCAGACGGGGATGGCCGGACCCGGATGAGACTTTCCTCCTTTCGTCATGTTGATCCCGTTGCGCAAGCACGTGGTCACGCGGTCGCAGGCGGACGAGTTCTCGCTGCTTACTAATGCCTCTCTCTCTCTCGAGAGAGAGAGAGCTTCATCGGAACCCCGCGTGTCCCCCGTTGACGTCACAGCTCACGTGACTTGGAAGATGGTAAAGGAGTCGAGAGGTGCCGAAAACCTCAATCTTTGTCCATTTTTAAAATAAAAACTAGGACAGGCAGGCAAAAGCGTTTTTTTGTTCCTTACTTCAGAAAAGGCAAGACACCAACTCCCAAACTATTTAAGAAAAGCACTGAAATTGTTGCACAGCTCCTTTAAAAAAATGCGCTGCCAGGAACAACTTGAACGGAAGGAACCCCATTAAAGCCTTGGTGCAACAGGCGACATCTTTCCAGCAAACTTAGCCCCGAAGAAATCGGGTCTCTTGTCTAAGCATGGGTCACCGCACCAAGGCTTTTTCAGGAGGTCCTTTTGAAGTACTAACGAGGAGAAATTTCACCATTAGCCGCAACCTTTCACTGCAATCGACCATTTTCTAAACTGTAGGTTTGGGAGCTACTATTGGTAGGGGCATGTACGTTTACTGCGTGAGCGCTCGTTCGATGGGGGCATTCCTTCAAGCGAATTGGTCGCGCTCTGCTCGTACAAAATTCTCACGAACTAGCCAATTCTGAAAATGGCGGCACCTTGTTGAAACAATTGCCAAGAATACAAAAGTAGTGAGAAAAGGTTTGTGACATATGCAAACAAATCTACGAGTAAAGCGAACACAGCAGAGCATTGCACCACACTACCGTAATATCCGGAGATAGCCCACCTAAAATCGATAGCTAATCGGATGAAAACAAAAGGTGGGCTAACTTTCGATGTGCCGTAAAAAAAAAAGTTGAAAAACGATGCTCATTTTACATTTTGTGACCCTCGAACCTTGTGATCGCAGGAACGGGCAATGAACCAAAGATGACTGTCCTTCCCAGTCAGCAATATTCGCTCATCTCCCACTGTGATTAAGTAACACCGTTTTTGCATAGGTCACCAGTGGCCAGGGCTCTGGCCAATGGTGACTACAGTGGGCTACCTTTTGGTGTTTTAGAAAAAATAGGAAATCATGCCAAAAATAAGGGTGGGCTATCTTGGGGGAGTGGGGCATCCCTGTGGATATTACGGTATGTACTTTTTGTGCAACTATCTTACCTCTGGCGTTTGCATGCTGTACATAAAAATAGTACCACTCGCAAAGAAAAAAAAAGTATAAGCATTTCAATTTAATTAATTGGGCAGTGCATACTATAATCTTGGAAGTAAAAATGTGCTTCTGCGTGTCTCCAACGTCCAAACAACTGTCGAGAAGCATTTAACCGAAAGTTGGCACTTCTCTTGCTCAATGTGTGACACTAGAGTATAGCATTTCACTACAATGCTATGCTGTGACACTTGCAGTGATGCTACTGCAAAACTGTGATTTGGAGCACCTAAAAATGGCTTTTGGAGCACATAAACATGAAATTTGAAGCCCTTTTGAGCACCTAAATATCACTTTCCAAAAGTACTTTGGGCATGCAGTTATGAAATCTTATGATCACTTAAATTTAGTTACGAGAATTTTGAAGTTTGCAAATCGACCAAGTTCTCTTTTTTCTGTAGACAGTATAAGTCACTTTGTAATGTTGGTCTACACAGTCTTAAGTACAAAAGGTATCTCTCATGGAATTCCAATCCGAGGGATTACTAAACAGATCTTTCTCATATAAAAAAAAGTTGACACAACTGTTGATGTAACTTACTGTCCATTGTTTAATTTAAACACAAAAGAACCTGTCAAAGGCCCATCCATCAAAGCGTCTGCAGCTTTTCGTTTATGCCTGCCAGCTTAGTTGTGTTCTCGGAAAAGCTTGTGTTTGCCTCAGAAAGACCTGTACCCGATTCTATTTCTTCCAAGTTCTCGTTAGCCAGCCTCGTGATCAGTCCCCGGGCCGGATTAACTCTTTCTTGACCATGGGGAAAATGTCTGTTTTCTGTGGCTTTTTGTTACTTCATTTTCGTGAGGAAACCATTGAATTTACAGCACGATACCAAAGTTAGAAATGAAGCTAAGTAAATGTGATTTTGAACAATGTAAACGTGAAAACAGAGACTTAATTTCTAATGCAAAATTTAATTTGCCAAACACAAGTTTTTTTCTAACATTTCAATGAAACCAGGTAAAGATATGCCTAAATCTCGAGAGACAAAAATGCCAAAAATAATCTGCCATATTCAAAATGGTCTCCATTTCAACAACAAAAAGCTCAGCAAAAACTTGAGTTCTGGCTCATACAGGTTTTTGAGCCATAAAAACTCAGGTCGACCATCATGAATGACGTGCCATTGGGCAAAGCAGTTTCTCAATGCGGTGAAGCACAGGTACACATGGCAAGTTTTGCAGAAAATATTTGTTTTGTGTTCTACTTTGTTATCTTCATAGCACTTTTTGTAGTTCTGGCGGTTGCTTGTTCTGGTTGGCTTGTGCTGCATGCTCCGAGGTCTTGGAGAAACATGAACTTTTGATGTGCCTCAAGAGCTAAGAGCTTCTGTGCAAGTTCTGTCCTAAAAGCCAGCTGATTATAACGTGAAATCCTGGAGAGCTCAGGTATTTCGGGGTGTCGCATGCAATGTTCCTGAACTACGATGTGGCTATTTACGCACGCAATGTCAATGCAATGAAAAAAACGGGGTTTTCCACTAATGGACAAACTTCTGGAGGACATCGTACAAACCTAAGAGTTGGCCCGATTTGTCAACACCAAACATGCCAAAATTGTACTCGTCTACCAGCTGTGGTTGCTTTACCGAAATGTCCTGCCACTTCCCGCCGTTTGGCAAGTACGTGCTTGTTGGCGGTGTGCAGCGGCGTAGACTTTCCATTTTAATGGGGAGGGGCAGGCTGAGAAGTTCTCTGGGGGTCCAGGGGGGGGGGGGGGGCTGCGCGTTACCTTTTCGCCAGAACTGGAGACTGAAGCTAACGAAAGCACGCTGGGATTCCATTTCCCATGTATTATGTCAATAAAGGCAACGTGGGCGTAATTTGTTTACATGCCACTACTAGAAGCTCGTTACATGGCACATAAACAGCGTCTCAGTAAGGATCATGGCCCGGGCCCGGGGGGGGGCACGAGCCCCGATGCCCCCCCGAAGTCTACGCCTATGGCGGTGTGCATTGTGCTGACCATGTGCACAACACGCCGGTATTTCCATTGCAAATACAAAATTCCGTTATTCCTTAGCTAGCGCATATCCCCTCTTTTGGCTTTTCTTGCCCACCTGCTGTCCTTGAGCTCTTTGGAGAACCCGCGATGGTTTTTCCATGTCGTTCCACATGCCAAGTCTTCCGTTCTATAGGAGGTGCGAAAATGGGGATGCTGACGAGTAGAAATTCACGTAAACGCAGTAACCCTGGTCAAGATAGTCCCTGCACAGCTGTGTCACCATATCCAATGCGAGACCACTGGAACTGGGCCTGTCACGCCTGCCCATATGAACAATAAATTATATCGTATAGCCGGCTCGGGGGTCTGCCAGGACCCATACCTTGTAGCCCCACCATTTGGTTACTTTGTCTCTCATGTACAGCCGGATCCCTGCGTGCGCTTTTGATTTCACCATTCTTTCGTCAACTGAAAGTTCCAGATGGGGCTGAAAATGTTCTTCTGAATGATCATTTATGTGTTGGAGCAGCCAGGCGACTCTTCTCAACTTTTATCCGGGAGCTTGGGTGTCGTCGTCTGGGTCGGAGATGTGTACCATAGCCAAAAATTCCTTCAAACGTCTTCTGGGCATTATGTTTCGAGGAATTAACCCAGAAAACAAGCTTGATCCAGTCTACTATAGGTGCAGGTGCGGTAGTTCCACAATCCCCATGTACACAAGAAGGCCAATGAACGCGATCATCTCCACTGGAGTGACCTCCTTCCAAGATTCGTCTGCCTCGCTGTAGGTGGGCTTCTCAAATATGAGCATCCAGGCATACTTGTTTGTATGTATTTGCCCAAATGGTCACAATCACATCGGTGGTGAAAGGAAGCCAAAAAACGTCAATAGCCTTGAGCAGATGCTGTGGAGCGCCATTTTGAAATAAATGCCTGGCTCTCTCCTTGGTCGAAACAGCACTCTTTGCTGAGCAGGCGGCAACACATCTTGCCCGAATGATGTAGACACCCTACAAATAAAATAGCCTTCGTGGATGCCACTGACGACTGCCACCAGTGATCCGTGAAGTAAGTAGGGAAGTGCGGGGAAGTTTCTAAAATCATACGACATTACGCGTAGCAACTGGATACTGCCAAAGTGGGACTTCGCATAACGCGAGTAATGTTTGAAAACATGTCTTTCAAGCAGACGACACATTCATTCGCCCTTCGTTGCGCAATTCTTGGTGAGACTGTCT